TTGAAAATAATAGGGGATGGTTAAATTATGGTGTTGGGAGCCAGCCACGGAGGCCCGCTGAGCATTAGGGATCAGGAAGGGCCGTTGACCCCGAGACCACTAGGATGTGTTCTGGAGCTATTGACCCATTTCCTCCCCCTTTCTAGTCAGCACTATAACCAGAATAAGCTCCTGTAAGCTCAAAACATAAAAACTCTTGAGACTGGGAGGAACACAAGCTACCTTTAGAAGCTCATTGTTCCCATTCTTCTACAAACTGCAGTTTTGGCTTTCACACAACTTACAATTCAAACCCGGGTCACATCTAAGAGCCTTAGTATTGGTCACAGGCTTCTGGGTCGTGATTTTAGGATTTACTGAAGTTGAGTAAGGTGTAAATTGTAGAATATAGTTTTAGAAATATAAATTTAGACAGCCATTTTGTTGAAAGCATGTGGCTGGGTTACTTGCAGGTAGCCCACTGTGAACTTTGGACTGGGCCACATTCCAAACATTCGGGGATGGGCTGCTTTAGGTTGTAAAGTATTTAAGTTTCTATAAAACTTGGTATTAGTATAAACCAGCATAGGATGAAACAGGTTTATAGGATAGGTCAGTCACAGATTAAGGTTAGTTATGGGATTTTTAGGTTATGTTTAACTTGGTGTTAGTATAAATTAGCATAGGGTGAAAAGGGTTTATAGGCAGTCATGGATTAAGGTTAATGGGATTTTCTTCCTCATACCTGAAAGAATATCTGGTGGGTGGGGACGCCCCTCACACACCTGGCTTTGTGTTCACAGAAAGACATATGAGCATAAAAGCCCACTGTTGACAGTCAATAAAGGTCTTCTGCTCAAATCTAAGCAGTTGTCCAAGTCTCTCTCTCTTTCTTCTTGCCCCCAAACACCTACGCCGTCTCCACCTTTGGGGTACCCTGAACCTGGCAGAAGCTGAACTCCGGCATTATGGCACATTTAACACTGCAATATTATATAGTCATTGAAATAACACTCAGATTTTTTTTTTGAGTTTGAGTCTCACTCGTTGCCCAGGCTGGAGTGCAGTGGCATGTTCACAGCCACTGCAGCCTCGACCTGCTGGGCTTAGGAGATCCTTCCACCTCAGCCTTCCAAGTAGCTGGAACTACAAGGCATACACACCACGACCAGCTAATAACACTCAAATATTGACACTGAAAAATCCTGGTAATACGTTGTTAAGTTTAAATAGCAGGTTATCAGGTTATGCATAATATATTCTTGCTTTTTCCAATAAATCACAATTTACTTTTATTAATATGTTTTCTATAATGAAAGTATATTTGTCTTCTGGTAAGAAATTATGTTTGGCCGGGCTCTGTGGCTCAGCCTGTAATCCCAGCACTTTGGGAGGCCGAGGTGAGTGGATTGCCTGAGCCTGCGGGTTCGAGACCTGCCTGGGCAACTTGTCGAGACCTCATCTCCACTATAAATCAAAAACTAGCTGGGCCTGTAGTTCTAGCTACTTGGAAGGCTGAGGTGGAAGGATTGCCAGAGCCCAGCAGGTCGAGGCTGTGGTGGCTGGGAGCAGCCATTGCACTCCAGTCTGGGTGACAGAGTGAAACCCCAACTCAAAAAAAAAAAGAAATTATGTTTAGGGCAAGTCCCTGGGGTCCCTTCCCACTGTGGGAGCTTTTCTGTCCTCTTAATAAATTCTACTTTAAAAAAAAGAAATTAAGCCGGGTTCGGTGGCTCAGCCTGTAATCCCGCGTCTTTGGGAGGCTGAGGTGAGTGGATTG